GGGCAGCGTGGACCAGGCGGCACCGAGCACCGCACCGGGCACCGGAGTGGGCAGCGTGGACCAGGCGGCACCGAGCACCGCACCGGGCACCAGGCACCGGAGCAGGTAGAATGGACGAGGCGGCACCGAGCACCGCACCGGGCACCGGAGTGGGCAGCGTGGACCAGGCAGCACCAAGCACCGCACTGGGCACTGGGCACTGGAGCAGGCAGCGTGGACCAGGCGGTACCGATCACTGCACCGGGCACCAGGCAGCATGGGGTGGGCAGCACCGAGCACTGCACCGGGCAGCACTGTGCATGGGCCCTGGGTCCCGGTACCACCCCAGTCTCCCCATGCAGCCCATGGGCACCTCGCCCCACTCTGCCCCGGCCCCTGCCTTGCACCCGGCACACATACTGTGCCCCCCACGCACTGCCCCGCGTCCCACGTACCCCTCGCTRTGCCCCCCACTCTGCCCAATGCTCCCAACTGCCCTGGGTGCCCCCTCTGCCTGCACCCTGCACCCCCCAGCCTGCCGGCACTGCCTCGGCCCTGCTCCATGCACAGCCCTGGTGCAGCACGTGGCACACAGTGCACGCTGCACGGCACTGCACTGCATGCCCTGCACTGYGCACACTGCATGGGGCTGTGCCCCCCGCCCCTGCACCACAGTGCACTGCACTGCATGCCCTGCACTGCGCACACTGCATSGGGCTGTGCCCCCCGCCCCTGCACCACACTGCACCCTGCATGCACCCCCCTCAGCCTGCTCCGCACACGGGGCACCCCATGCCATGCACCCCGCACTGCGCCGTGCTCCCGCCTGGCACGGCTGTCCCGGCTCCGCACCCCGCACTCCGCACCCCAGGCTCTGCCCCGCTGCCAGGCACCCCGCGGTGCCACCATGCAGGGGCACTCAGCATCACCGCGGGGTGCCTCCCCTGCGCACAAATCCCCTGGGACCCAGGGCACGGAAACCCTGGGCACGTCGCCCCGTCCTGCACGGGGACCCGCGGGGCGCAGGACCTTGCAGCCCGTGCGCCAGGATCCACCGGCGCCGGGCGGCCTTGGGAGCCGGTGYGCGGCTCCGGCGCTGCGGCCGTGACCCGCGTGCCGCGCGGGCTGCACCGCGGCCCTGCAAAGGGCGCAGCCCGGCAGCCAGCGGCAGCCGCAGCGCTTATCAAGGCGGCGGGAGCGGCTGGTTCCCAGCGGCCCGGCGAGACCAAACACGGCGCAAAGCGGCTGCGGGAGCGSGGCCGGGTGCTGCGGGAGGCGGCCACGGCCTTGGGGTGCAGGGGCAGGAACGGGGCGGCCGCGGCAGGAGGCAGCGGGGCCGGCAGAGACGGGGACAAGGGCCACCCTGCTGCAACGCGGCTCGTGCCCGCCGGCTC